ACACTAAAAGTGATTCTGTGTAGTTAGTTGATAAAGCTTAGACTATTAAATAAACGCTTGTTATTTTTTTCGAAAGACAATATAAATTTTTTTTATAAATGCTAACGGTTTTTAAATGAATTGTTAACTAAATTTTGAATTTTGAAATTCATAAATTTGTCAAATTCCATTTATTAATCATTTGGATTCGTATGTGGGACATTTTGTGACCCAGTAATTAAATTTAGTAATTATGTGATACAATATGGTGAACTAAATTAAAACATATTATTTTCAAAAATTATAATGATTAAGTGAGAGAAAAAATAATCGAATTAATTTATATTAGTAATTATTACGCTTTTTAATCTCTTCTCACCAAATTAGATCGTTATAGTTAACATTTTTCTTAAAAATCTACTTAAATTTCTTTCCAAATCCGTTAAAAAGGGGAAAAACTTTCTCTCTTTCTTTCTTTCTTTCTTTCTTTCTTTCTGGTCTCTCGACTTTCATAGATCAATATATTAAATTGATCATCATATTTCTAAATCCAGTCAAAATTAGGATAAAGTGCGTGGGGTGGTATTAGAAAGATTCCAATGGTTATAGTATTATATCATAGAATCTTTAACGGGCCATAATAAATATAGTTCCTTATTAAAAAAAAATTGTTTATATTTAGTTTAAAAAGTCATTCACATTTGGGCGAAGGTCTGATGTGAGCTAGTGGAGATGGTATATAGTGAATATGAGCAAGAAGGAACTTGATGTTAGCAAGGATTTGTTACACATTCTTTAAATTAGTTTAAAGAGAAGATTATTTATTTCACTCGCTTGATTTCACCAAAAAAGCTTTAAACCATTTCCAGACAGAACTTTTTTCGAAGCGGTTTCCTAAATCCTTTGTTTGGTCTAAAATAAAAAATTTCTATCTAGAAAACCGCTTTGTTAAAAAATCTGTCTGGAAATAGTTTTACCTGAACATACTTAGTCATTTTGTATATTTCGCAGCGAGTTCGCGCTAATTGCAAATGTTAAGGTTTATTTGGATATCGCATAAGTTATATATATTTTTTTTAATTAATGTATATATGTCGCCTGAAATAATATTTTTGAATATGAGTTATTTACCATCACGTGCTTCACATGGCATGATTCATTTATTCCAAATATAACTCTTCGTAAATTTCAACAATAAATTAATTAAAAAAAAATAAAATGTTGATTTTGGACGTACCCTTAGTATACGAGGTTTTTCAGAGTTTATTTAATTTTTCTTATCTATTTAAAATATCTGAATTCACAATTATACAATTATTCTTCTCTTTTTTATACCCTGTTCCACATCAATTAAATTCCCTCTGGACTTTCTCGCAAAAATTTAGAAAATTAATGTCATCAAATATACATATACAAGATACATTATTAAAATTAGTAATCAATTTGCGTTAAATTACAATTAATTCACAATTCAATAAGAAGATTCCTAGCTAATTTTATTGAGCTATGAAGGGTATTAATAAATATCGCAGTTTATTTTATTGCTAATTTATTGATTCCTAAAATCTTTGAATGAAAAGCGAACCAAAACTCCCCATAAACCTCTATTAGCCTTTATTATTTACTGATCTAAACTAGACATGAACCATGAAAAAATTAGACCAGAGTAGGAATCGAACCTCTATTAGGGTCTATGAACCAGTTTGGACCTTTTAATATTTCAATTATTTTATTATCAATTGATTTCAACCATAAAAAAAGTTCTCCTAGATTTATATAATTTGATTGAAGACAATCTGAAAATAATATAATTCTATGGCGTCAATAATAGTATTTATCAATTGATCGGTCTTTTGAAGGATCCGTCTCCCTAATTCTCTGAAAAAATACTTTGAGTTTTGCTATTAAAATAGGTAAGAGTAGAGCAAAATGGATAATAATGTGCAAGAAAAGATGAAACTATATATGATTAATAAGATATCTACAATTCTAGGGTTAAAGTTACAATTAAATAGAGCATTTGGATCAATGCAGGTTCATATCCAAACTAAAATCCCTGTACCATGGAATTAAGAATATTCCGTATAGAAATTTTGCAACGGTTCTAAAGTTGTCGGTTATTTCAAATCTAGAAGGGATCATAAAATAAAATCGTTGCAGTGGATATGCAGGAATATGTCCTTGGCATAATTAGCAGTGCATGCAATGCCTGCCCTGTCTGCATTGGTAACAAAACAATTTCTCTGTTAAGCCGGCCGCAGTCCAATAGTAAATCTTTCCTCGTCTACTGAAAGGAGTGAATTAAGATTATTATAGGGTATGCTTTCCATAAACTCGTAACCAGGTCCTTGGTTCAGGTGATAAAAACTGAGATCTTCGTCATGAAAACTGATCTTAGGTCTGATTTGCAAATAAAATTTTTCCAAAAAATTTTTCCATAAAAAGTGCCAAATATATTCTTCACTAACACACTTTATTAAAATAACGGAAAATGAAACACCTCTCATTAGATTCATTATTTATACTTCACAAAATAAGGCAACCTCAATGTAAAAAAAGATGCGTTACGTTTTTTTATAAAAAAAAAGTGCGGCAAAACGCAAACGCTTAATTTGTGCGCCTGCGCACTAAAAATCAACATCAAAATTTTACCTTTTAAGATACTCTCAGATGTGTACTTATTCTTCTTTTATTTAGGTCTAAAAAATAATTCTATTTAGACAGTTTTAGCATTCTAAAAAAAAGAAAAACGGCAAGTTAGGACATAGCCGTTAATAACAGGGTTTCGACCAGAACCGCGAAACCGGTACGAGCCATTATAATTTTCTGAACCGAAAAGAACCGATATAAATTTCCTCAAAAAACCGCAATGGAACAAAATTATCGAATGTCAAATTAAAAACCGGAATGAACCGGACCGATATACTTAACGGTTCGAAACTCTGCTTAATAATACCCTTTAAGCTACGAATTTTGAAAAAAAGGAACTTTCTGTCCAGAAAATGCCTATGACAAATTTTGTATTAAAAAAAATCTGAAAAATTTGATATTTCCCATAATATTAAGGACGCCTCCAAAGTCACAAAATTTCTCAAAAAAAAATGATTTTCGCATTTATACATTGTACACGTTCAGCCTAGATTTCGTAAATAATAAATAAGTAAATATTTTTTTTTTTAAAAATAAATAAAATTTTGACTTTGGATTCACTGCACCCTAAGTCTCCAGTGAATTTTTATCCTAAAGCTTAATTTTTTATTCACAATTAGAAAAATAATATTAATTAACTTTATAAGAAGCTAAATCTTGTGTTTTTTTTTCATATGTCACACTATCTTTTTATTTATTTTTTTTAGTTTAACGAATTAAAAAAATTTTTTAATATTGATTATAAATTATATAAAAGATTATTTGATTAATAAATATATTTAACTTATCATTTTCTAATGTCAAATACGAAAATAAAACACAGTATTCATTATTATTTCTGATCCATTTTAATAATTTATTTCTATCTACACTATAAAAAATATATATTACATAATACTTATATATATGTATGCATTGCTCGGAAAATATATTTTTTAAAAAAATTATAGAATTATAAAGTTTTTTTTCTAATATTAAAAATAAAAAATAAGTCAAAGAGTTAATGAACGGTGTTGGAAACATGACATGATTTTCCAAAATAACAATAAAAAATAAATAAATATATACTTTTTTTTTGTATTATGTTAACGGTAATTTGAAATGAATTACGAAAAGTGCTTGGTGCTATATTTAATTTGTGTCAATATAGGTTACGCATACCGTATCATTTTGATTAGGGTATTTTCATTAATTCATTCGTTAATAAAATTAAATATTTATATATATGAGATTTTTAAATATCAATAAATACTATTATTTATCAAAATAAATTAAGTCTATTATTTAAATATGAAAATAAAAAATTAAGTTTTTATCATATTACTATTAAAAAAAAGCTAGCACTGTAACTATATTATATTAATTTTATTACTAGATTTATATATATTTTTTTTACCATAAGACTGAAATTAATATACTTTATAAAAATATTTAAGCGAATTTTAATATATAGGAGGGATATCTTCTTTGTTGTCCCAAAAAAAATTTTTAATTGAAAATAATAATAAATAAATTCCCAATTTTATTTACCGACCGACACTTATAATTAATTAGGATAGTGTTGTGAGCTTATCAAGCATGGTAAAAGAAAGTCAGGTCTTTTTTTATTTAGGTTTATACCGAAAGTTTTTGTCACTTCAGGCAATATCAATTTAGGAATAAACTATCATAACATCAGGATATAAATTGAGTCTTATTTATAGCAAAAATGAAATAAACAATAAGACTCTTTAACGCTAATGCAAATAAAATGTTAAGAAAAGATTAAAGAAACATCATGAAATGCAAGCGTCATTGATTTAATATCTCGGTAAATTGAATACTTTTGTTGACACTCCTATTTATAAAAAAAGTGTCGTATTTATTATTATTTAAAATCATGCTTTTTATTAAAATACAAATTTGTGTAATTATGTGGGGAAAACTTAATTTTTTCTCTCTCTAGGGTTATGGTGATATAAAACTAAAAATTATATCAGAGCCTTTTAAGCTTTGCGTGTCTAATTTCGAAATTGAAAAACGCCATTTCAAACCTAGTAGTTAAAGTTTAAAACAATATATTTTACCGATTCTGAATGGAAACATTAAAAGAAAAAGAAAGAAAGAAACTCTACAAGGTAGAAAAAAAAGAAAATACAAATAAATTAATGAATCCACAACAAGAAAATAAAATTATTTTTTTATTTCCGAAAAAAGAAATTATTTACAAATTTTTCCATAAAATGACAACACCTAAATAATCTTGTCACGTCTTAGATATTAGGGTAAAGAACCCTGGTTTCAATGAGTTCTCAAATTAGACAAATTTGATATATATATATAATATATTCTTTTTTAAAAAATCATTTTTTTGTTTGATAGGTGTAAATAAAATGTTCAACGCATTCTTCCTTTTGTACTGGGCTATTATATCGGTGATGGGATGGATGATTATGGTAATTATTGTTAACATAATTAAATTAAACTAACATATCATTGTACTCTAGAAATATTTTATTTAATTATAGACAAACAAAATATTATGTTTTAAAATATTCAATCTCTTTTTTAAAATAATTATTAAAAAAATTAAATTTATTCTTAATTCATAAAGAATTTTCTATTATTATAAGCTTGCCCACATTAGTATTTTATTTATTATATGCATCATATATCAACAGGCTGAACAGTCACTCCAAATCTTTCAAGGCAATTCAAACATAACTCGATTGGTGAAAAGCTTATCGAGCGCTGAAAACTCCGCCGCCGTTTTGTCGACTTTATTAAAATTGATTCCGAATAAAAAAATATTGAGCAAAGGTTTCGCCACGAAAAACGAGAAAGGAGATTACGATTTCAAATTTAACGATACGCATTTAATGGATATGCTCTATAACAAAAATGGTAGCAAATTATTAACAGTTAGCGAGTTAGAGGTATCTGGTGGAAATTTTCCCGTACCTTTAGGCCATCATTCCAGATTAGGGCCTCAGAGAAGATTTCATATATCGGCTATCGAAAGTAATAAAACAACAGATAAAGTGTCCAAAAAATCTGGATTGGATTTTATGAATCTACTCATGGGATTGAGTCAAGGATTGCCTATGGGTAGCAACCTATTTAGCAGTTTAACTAGCATGACGAAAACATTGCAACCCTCAAGTGAAACACCTTCAAATTCACTAAAATTATTATCTACTACAGTGACTAATCCTGACCGCACAGAGAATTCTGTCGTTATGGAAAGCCACGATCAAATTCATCACCAACAGAAGCGCAGAACGGACAATAATTTTGACTCAGCTACTGTATCTCCAATAGAAGATAAAGAAAGCTTGAAATACATAAAGGATTCAAATAATATGGATTTACCAATCAACTATGAGCCAAACAATGAAGCGTTGAAAGATGACAGCCCGTCGAAAATTATGAATGAGGAATACACAGAAGTAAATGATCAAAATAAATCTCAAACTGTAAAAAATATCCATTCAAGTCAGAGTAAAATAAAATTTTTTAAAACTGGAACATACCCAGGATTGTTAAATAGTAAAGAGGGCAAAATTCAAGGAAGTTCACAATTAGATCTTTACAACGTAAAAAATAGACCTTTTTACATTACGTCAGAGAATGAATTGAATCACAATGTAGCAAAAGAACCATCGTCCTCAGATGCAGTACCAAACTTAGCACAATATGGGCAGGATGGGTATTTACATCCACAATCATCAAATGTTGATTTATCATCAGATCAAAATTTTGATGGCTATAATAATAATATGCAAGGCAACCAAAATAATTATAATCAAGGTGTGCCCTCTATGTTTAACCATCCTTCGGAAGAGCAGCATATGGAAAACTTTGCATCATATGGTCAACCACATCAATTTCCTATGGAAAATGAGAATCAACACTATGTACAACACATTGACCCTTCTAATATGCCAAACTTTGACCCGTCATCTCTTCATAATCAATATATTGTAGATCAAAGTGATCCAAACTCTCAGCAAGAAGTTGAAAATCCTAATCAACAAGAAGGTGGTAACAATAATCAACAAGAAATTGAAGGCCATCATCAACAAGAAACAGGAATAAATACTGCAAATGATCAATCCTCTGTAATTCATGAACCTTATCCACATTCTTTACATAATAATTTCGCCTCGCCTCCTTATAATACAGCTGATCAACCTCAATCAAATATTGATGACCAAGGAAGAGTTCATATCCAAGGACAATATGTTGATAGATTACCTCCCGACTCAATGTATCCCCCATCTTCTATCCATGCTGCCTTGCCAGCATATCAAGATCAATCTAATGGAATGTTTTCTTCTCAAAATCATTTAAATTATAGATCACCAGAACCCCAAAATATAATTCCTCACAATAACCATATTACTGGATATTCGGGTGACGTCAATTCCACCAGAGAATACATAACTAATGCCAATTCAAATCCGTCAATGGCTAATAAAAATATTCAACCCACTCCTATTGATGCCCCTCAGTTAATATATCATGAAACTAATGATGACAATGTAAAACAGTCAACCTCGTTATCATCACAATTCACCGATTCTGGCGAACCTGATTCAGAAAAGTCACCCACTGGATCAGTTATTCCTTCATCACAAGTTTCAGATCAATCTCAGGCTGCTTATGATAATATACAATATACCCCAGGTAATAGTGTGTCACACTTAAGGCAGAATAACGAACAAGGCATATTTGATGATATTAAAAGTCTAAGTGGTGGTCGCTACTCGCCTTATCTGACTCAAAGCGGGTATGCGCAATCAAGAGGAAATATTGATGGCCCTCCAGAAGAAAATATGGCCCCAGCAATGGGTGGAAATATATTACCTCAAGAAGAGTTTTTTATACCCTCTTCGGATAGTGAGACACCTTCAGGAGAAGGTTACGATACTTTTCAAATAGGGGAGAACCAAAGAATACCTTATAGTGATAGTTCTAGTGGAGATGAAAATTTTCTTGACGAGGAATATATGAGTGCTCGGAGTAATCATCAACCAGGATTAGAAGCTACTTCATGGAGGAATCCCCAAAACAGTTATGCCAGCAATAATCCTTTAAATGATGTATCTCAACATTCCCATGGAATTGCGGCTCAATCGTCGAATATTATGTCTAAATCTAAACCAATGTACAATAGTTTAGCTGGTCAGGCATCTTATGTACAATCTTCAAATTTTGGAACCCAATTTTCTGGTTATCCTAAAATACAACAACCCCCAGCGTCAAAATCTTACCAAACTAATGGTATTATAGGTAAATATAACTTTTTAAGAAAAATAGTTAATTAATTATAATTTCAAAATAAATTAATCATATTTTTAATTATATTAGGAGTTAATGTCAAATGCAACTTAAATCGGAACGAATTAATATTTACTGTACATTTTAAGAATAAATTTTTTGGATTAGTATACACTAAAGGATACTATAAAGTTGAGCAATGTAGAACTAGAGGTCATGGCTCACAAACCGTTTCATTAGTTTTACCTTTAGATGGTTGTGGGAATTCCATTGTCAGCCAGGTAAAATATATATTAAAATATAAAATTTATAAATGTAATAGGGTTGGGATTTATCTTCGGGAGTCACTACCTTTATAAGCAGACTTGTAATCATATTTGATACCATATTGGGAATTATTACATCGCATGATACAGCCTACAAAGCCACGTGTACTCTGGGAGGTGCAGGGGCTCCTGCTTTAGAATCAGGAATTCAAGTTCCGTAAGTTGATAAATATACATGATTGAATGTTAGAATAAAATTTGTCACTTATGATATTTAAAACATAATTAAAGGATGCTATTACCACATGGTATGCAACCGACTTCTATGACTATGCCGCCAGCATGGATGTCCATTGTGCAAGGTAAAGATCCGCAAGCACCACCTTCCCAAATTTTAAATCTGGGACAGATAGGGACTGTTGTCATTAAATTGCATGATACTCAAGGTTTATTATGCTTATCTTTTTTAATTTAAATTTATAACAACAAAAATATAATCAAGGTCACTTTGACATTTACGCTTTCAATTGTTTTGCGCATGATGGAATGGGCATGGGACGAATTCAGTTACTTGATTTTAACGGATGCCCAATTCATACTCAAATAGTTGGGCCTCAGAGTAGAGAAGTCTCTCATGGCTCTCTATCAATTTTTTTCCATTTCAAAGTCTTTAAATTTCCGGATGTTAACAACGTATATTTTGTGTGCGAAATCAAAATATGTTACAAGAAATGCCAACAGGTAGTAAAATACTAATATGTGTATATCTGTACATACAATACTTATTTATATTAAATACAATACTTATTTATATTAAATACAGCCTAATTGCGGACTGTTCTCAGCGAGCAAACATCGTAAAAAAAGAAATCTAGAGGAATTGTTTTCACCTATCATATGGCATCATGAACTAAATGATACATCACATTTCAACATAACTAATGAGAATAACGGAACCTTAAATAATATGGTAATCAGCCATTCAAAACTAAACGATACTATCCCTAAGGATGAATCTCTACATAATCAAATTGCAAACGCAATTGATGGAGTCAAAACCAGCACAATATTCCAATCAATATTAGTGAAAATACCTATGGAACAAGAGGATGAATATCTTGAATTGAAAAGCAAATCTGATTTAAATTTGGTTTCCCAGGATCACAAAGAAAAACAATTTTCTCATGAATCAGGTGATTAATTTAGTTAACATTTATTAATATATATTTTTTTAAAATTAATATCAAAATTTAATCAAATTTAGAAGATGACATATTATCGAACGATGTGAACGAGATCCCCTCAAAAAAGGATAAAAATGCGGATTTAAATCATGATTTAGTTCGAAAAATGGAGAAGAAGGAAGTATGCATATCCAAGACTACCTTCGCCACATCGTTGGGATTTTTATTTACTCTGATAATAATAGTCGCCACCATTTCCTTTTACTTTCTCACAAAAAAACAGATGAAAAAAATGAGTAGCAAACTCAGCTCCTTCGATAACAGCGAATATTACGAAAACGGCAGTGAAAAGGATTCAAAACATATACTATCCAAAGATTATGGTTCTTGGAGATCACCAGCTGCCCAAAAAAATGGTTCCGATAAGAAACCCAATGATATTAGCAATAAAAATACCTTCCCGTTGAGATTACATCCCATATTTGTTTACAAATCATAATAAATTTTAATCGCTCATTTTTTTTTCCTATTTTTTTTTATACCCTTCGCCCCATTAAAAACAAAATTTGACGTGATAGTCTTACGATATTATTTTAGCCCATAACATAACAAAGAATATATACCCTTAGCCGTTTTGAAACCTAGCACCCGCGTCTTTCAACCAAACATATACTTACTTTTGATTTGTTATAACATTTTATAAGTGCCTTTTGTACGATATATTAATTACTTAAGAATATGCTATTCCGATGTTTGCCAAACTCATGATATTTTTTTTATATATAAAAAAAAATTGATTATGATGTAAATTAACTTATGTAACAATAAATTTACCATTTATAAATTTTTTTTTTATTGTGTAAATTATTTAATATAAAAACAAAATATGATTTATTTTTTTGACATTAAAAATAAAATTTGATAGAAATTTCATTTTAATTTTACATTAAATCTTACAAAATACCATAAACTTACGGTGATTTTTGTATAGAGGAATTCACAATTGAGATTCATATTAAATATAAAAAAATTAACTTTTAAATGAAGATTGAAATATAAAACGGGTCAAATCGATCCCTAGTTATAATTGTTCTTAAAAAAAAATTTAAACCCGGTTTCAAAAATCGTATTCTATCCATACTTAAAATGGTTCCTGACACCAATAAATGAGCATTAAATTCAAGCAATTGATAGAGCAATCGTATAATGCCCATGCTAAATAATTTTCAACTATTCATTTGCATTGCTTTCAATTTCTTTAACCGATAAAATGAATATCATAATTAATAATTATTTAGTTAAGAAATCATATCCTCATAGGACAGAATTTTTGTGATTTATTTTCACGAACTTTAATGTCTGTGGTAACTTTTACTTGCCTTTATTCAGATTTTGAATTTAACCGTATCATTTCTAATTGTCCTCATGGTTATACATTAAAATTAATATATGGTTTTTTTTGATTTGCTAAGACTGAACGCCACTTAAAGAACAACGTTTTAGATTGACTTAAATTAGTTTTTGTCAAAACGAAAAATATTTTTATAAACCTTATTCAAAAATATATTTAAAAAAGAGTAACGAATTTATTACCTTTGGTTAATATATGTATAAAATAAAAGACTAATTTTATATCTAGTTTCTTTGAAGCTTTAGATATTGATGTTTAAATTTTTAAAGGAGCAAATAAATAAAATACTGTAGCCTATGGATTTATAATAAAGAAAAATAAGAAAGAAAAGCAATTTTACACACAAAAAAAAAGAAGATACGTTCAAAACTTTTTCTTCTAGCCGAATTATTTTTATTCATAAACACCGCTTTTTTAACTAGATAATATCTATATGGGATATATTTTTTAATCACTTCAATATCCATTTTAATCTTTTTTAGATTAGAATTTAAATGAATAACTGCGAGATAGATAGAATAGGTAACATAAAATGAATGTAAAATAACTAATTATATTTCTCATTTTGAAATATTTGAAAATATCTTTTAAACGTTAAATTTTTTTTAAAGTTTAAAATAGCCTATTTAGCTACCACTACTCGAAAGTAGCGGCATTTCTAATCGAAATATAATAACTAGTGAAAGGCACAACGTTCAACCTCACTGTAACATTCTTGATAATATGTAAATAGTAAATGATTAGGATAAAATTTGTATATAATATGTATCGCGGCTAAAAAAACAGTGATATAAATAATGTATCAAGACAATTTGAATTGTTAATTTTGCACAGAAGAAAAATTTGAAAATTCTATTAAATTTTAAATCGAGAAGCATATTATTCATATTCGTTTTAAAAATAATTACTACTTTATTTAATTTGAACTTTTAAATTCTAAAAGGTATTTTATAATAATTTCTCTCTCATTTAAGATCCTCTATAAACTATGAACCTAAATTCTAGTATAAAAAAAAATGCAGCTCCCTACATATGTATTATTGTTTGTTATAGTTAGAATTATAGCTGAGTTATGGCTAAAATTGGCTAATTAATATCATAAATCTATAAGGGTAGGCTAAGAATTAATTAATAAGCTAACTATTTTATTTCTGCTTTATTATCAGGGTTAGGCTATATTTTTTTCATAATAAAGGTAACAATTTTCTGCTAATAACTAAGTTTCTTTGATTTTCAAAGGGATAAATTGAATAACGATTAAAAAATAGAAAAATTATCTAACTATAGGTAGAATTATTGGATGGACAATTCGTTTAAATGTCCTCTCACTCTTTTTTTCTGTTCGAATATGTTCACTTTATTTTTAAAGTTTTATATATAAATATAATACAATACCTATACATAAATTTTGAAACTTACTTTACATATCAACTGAAGGTTTATTAGCATAGATTATGATTAAAAAGATGGTGCTTTTAAGAGGTGATCATATTATTTATTATTGCATTGGTTCTTTTTAATAACTCTTCTTGCGATCATCTGACCACGGAATCGAGAGCATGTATATTTGATAAAGATCATATAATTACTCCATAGACTGAATTCGTTCCGAAAACGTCAGAATAGATTCCCTTCTCTTATTTGAATGAAGCACTTTTACATGCCTCTAAGCGAGACAAACCTCCTATTCCCGTTTTATCTTTTTAGCAAATTAAAATGAGCAAAAAATGAAAATTAGAAACTTTTAATCAAATTAATCTCTTCCTACCCCTTCCAGTTTTAATGAAGATTTTGGGTCATACTCCCTCCATAGCAGATATCCCTGATTTCATCACAGCGTCTACATGACAGATCATTCAATGGGCAAACTAAAACCTATTCCACTCATGAAATTACTAAAATTTGTCATATAATTGAGCCAGGGAATCATTATAAAGAATAGTTGTAATGAAACAACTCCTTTTAAAATTGTGGTCAACTGTAACATTATTTTATGGCTACTGCACGTCGATTAAATGTGGCTAATGTGCATTTATATAATGATTGATAAGATAATTAATCTACGTGCAAAAACACAAAATGGCGCTACAGCTGGCTTTTATGTGTGTACACTTTTAATTAATAAATCACATATAAAAGTATACATATACATAGGAATCAGTTATAGCGCCATTATAGTTTGTCATCCATTAAATGGCATTAATGTGTATTAATATCCTATAAGATAATTTATCGACGTGTAAACTGGTGTTGTTAAAAAGCCTGATTCGGGCCGATTTTCAAAAAGGGCTCGATTAGGATTATAACCGAAATAATATTATGTAAGTTTAAAGATTTTGCTCCTTGCTGGCAGAAATGCTTCGACATCTATTTATTAAATCTCGATGCTTACATAATATTAGTTTAGCTAAGATCTTAATCGGGCCGTTTTGAAAAATCCCCCAATCGGGATTTTTAATAACACTAATGTAAACCACAAAATGATTTTATAGCTAACTTTATTTATTTATACTTTTTAATTTGTCCAATCTGGTTCTTATTTATAATTTTAAAAAGAAACAGTTAATTTGAATATAAAATTTGTAAAGATATTTGAAATGTTTAAATTGTAAAGGTAATTAGAAGGCTTAAATTCTAATAAAATAAAATAACAATTATATGATATAATCGATGGTATGTAAATTTTAGTAGTATAAATAGTGGGATCGGAAATGTAATAATTCAAGAAAAGAAAACAGAAAGTTTTATAATTTTTACTTTATGTCTTTTTTTTACGTTTAAGTTTTATTTATGTTATTTTAGAATGATTTGATTAACTATATTATTTTAATAAATTATTTGTCATCTACAATTCTTGTTCTAATAATCACGACTTGTTCTAAATAGTGCTCAAAGTGAGCTGAATCAATTCTTAACTACTCCAAAGCTGCCCATTCTTTTATTATAAGTTAGCTCCAATCTATCTATGATAGAATTGTTCAATGAACTCTAAATTTTTTAACAGTTCCAACAAGAGTAGTAAAAATATAAGTTAAAGAAAAATTAGCCTGTAACATAAAAAACAACAAATCGAATCTTTAGGATATTCTTAAATCCTTTTATAGTTTTTAATGATTATTTTAGTCATCTATTTTACTTTACCTACCCTTGAAATGGAAAGTTATTAAGTGGATTATTGATAATTTTTCAAATAAACCATATCGAATATTCATGAAATTAAAGCATATTACTAACCATTTAATATTTTTTTCAACAAAACTAACCCGAATGAATTTAATAAGTATTAACAAAATCCAAACATTTTTTAGCATTGTTAACTTATGAACTGTATCCAAATCTCCATCCATATTATCCTTGACTACTGACGGATCTATGGTCCATATCGTTGCAGAAGAAATTGAAAGGATCATTAAATTTTTATTCTCATTTATATTTTTTAGTTTATTTTTTTTTACATATTACTTAAAATTTTTACAAGTAGTATTAATTCCACTTTTAAAGCTGATAAATATAATCAATTACGATAATTTCTCAAGATATTTTTTACATGTGGTAATGAGAAAATAATATTACATAGTATTTCAAAATTTGGGGCAAATAACTTTCAAATATAATTTACCATTTATTTTCATGAGCTATATCTCATATATTATTATTATGTTTAATGATCTATTTAAATCAAGAATTTATACTAAACCATTAAGCCAGTATTAACCATCTAACCTAAACCAAACCTTAAAAAATTTTTCTCCCGAACCTAACTTGAATCTATAAAAAAAAGGCCTGTGAAACCCCGTCTAACTTGAATAAATTTTAAAAATATTTTTATTTTATTTTAGATATTCTTTCTGATATAATGTTTATTCAAAAATTAAATTGGCCCAAGAACCTAGATGCAGGATTTGGAGGGAATAAAATAAAAATAATTTGTCAAAGATTAAATTAAATAAATATAAAACGATTGCTGGACTTCGACAATATATCGATGAAAATATTCCTAATGAAAGATTAAAAAATGTCTTAACTTAGTGGATACTTTTCTCGCGGAATTTGATCATGGCATATAATCGAGCTAGTTTAGAAGAGATATTTAATTTTTCTGCAATACACCACTAGTAATCATGGAAACAATGTTTATATATTTTTTCTTTTTTATAAATTACTTTTATATATTTAATATATTTTATCAAATAATAACTATGTTTTTTTCCATAATTAGCTATTTTTTACGTGAGAGACTTAATTTTTTATCTACTTATTACAACTATACAAGGTAAACAACAAATGAACAAGTGTTCAATAGCTTTTTAAATTTGGTAGACCTTTAGATATTTTTAATTTTTTTTCGAGGATAAATGTATAATATAAAAATTTGATTAATATTGGCTTGGATTTTTTTAAAAAAAATTATTATTAAAAATAATGTTATAATAATTCCATATGAAAAAATATTTTCTATTCATATTTGGAGTAATATGGATGAATATTGGGCTTATAATTGCTGATTTATTAATTGTAATTAAATATAATTTCATTCTTTAAGTTATGTCTATGAATTATATTATTATTTCATATATTTGTAGTTTTCTCCAAAAAATATAACAATTGATGTTTTTGAAGATCTTCCGGCAGAATTCGGTAGCATTATTCCTTTATCGGGATTGACTGTAAGACAATAACTTTTTAATAATCTAATCATTCATTTTATATCTTTATAGGGTTATGTTGTTATTTCTAATCCAGCCAAAGCATGTTCTCCTATATTGTCACCTCCTTTTAATTATTCTCTTCGACGATGGTTTGTTCTCATTGAAAGAAATGGATGTGATTTTGATTACAAAGTTTTTATTATATTACTTATTTAGCCAATACTATTCTATAAGTTATGAATTTTTTGAATTTAGATGCTAAATATATCAAATATTATATACCAGCAAAGGGTTGCTTTTTAAAATGTTTATGATATATCTTTCTATATCAGATTATTTGATACTTTATTAATTTATATGATAACTACATATTTAATATAAAAAATTTTTAAAAAGAAAATAAACATAACAGAATCCCCTTTAAAAGAGGACATCCTCTTTTGAAATATCAATAAATATGCCCAGTATTTATTATCTTTTTACTTAAATATGTCTGTTGCATTTTCTAATATTGTGATTATATGAGCTGATAATTTATATGTACATAATATTATCAATATTTATAGCTGAATGGAATTTTTGCTCTTAGAATATATTATTAGGCTAAAAATATAAAATTGATTAATTTTTTAATACATACTTAGATTAAAAACTAATAATTGCATGAAATTAGATCAGCTGTTATTAAAATATTTAATTGCATAAAAAAATTGTTAGTTTATCCTCAATAAAAAGGGGTTCAAAAATTTCAATGATATTCCATAAACAATGTGAATTGTCTTTTCTATAATGTGAGAGATGTGCCAATCCATATTTTTTTTACTAATTCTAAGATTATTAACTGATATAATATTTATGTTGATTTTATTTACCTCTATTTTTGAACCAATGACAAAAAATCAACATTTTCTAATAAAATACCAACTAAAATTTAAGAATGATTTAATAAATTTTGTTTTTTTTATTCTAAGGACACTAAATATTGACTCCAATCCAATATTTAATGTCAGCACATTCCTATCTCTAACCCTTAGCTACCTTAGGTAAAATAATCCCATCAGGAATCGAATCAGCAACCTTCTACATTTCTATATAGTGCCATTTATTTATATCTCTAAACCCTCTGAGCTATAGTTATCATTAAAAAAACTGATGTTTTTTTTTACTTATTTATAATTTACCTAATGATCCAAAATATTTTTATAGACCAGACCAAAATTAATTTTGAAAATGTTTTTAAGACTGATATTAGGTAAATTTATGATTTCCCATTGTAAAAAATTATTATGAGCTGGGCTGAATAACTCATACAAAACTTATTTTACATGCTAGGCTGGGTAAAAATAATTATGGGCAAGAGCAAAAAAAAACATTATGGTAAGTTTCCATTGGCTGGTTTGGGTCAAACTATGCCAACCTCAAATAAATATGAATATCATTACTATGATGAATTTGGATAGTTATGTGATATAATTTGCCATTTATGTGTTATTGTAAACGTGGGCTGATAATTTTATAGACCAGACATAAATTTGAATTAAGTAAAATTTTTAAACTTATTTATCGATATTTTTTTCTCTCAAAGGTATTGAATGCCCAGAGAGCTGGCTATGCCATGGCCATAATATATAATTTCGAAAATGACGAGCTCATCCCCATGCATGGCTATAAATATGTTAAAATGGTCAATATACCATCTATATTCATAGGATGGACTGCTGGCATCAAAATATTGAAGAGCTACACACAGGAACATGGGTAAAATTATACAAATGAAATTATAAAAAAATTACATAATTTATTGTATATATGTAGAAGTTTTTTTTTAAAAATGACTCATCTCGATTAATCTAAATTTTAAATCATCATTTAGGGTGATTTTTAAATTTGATATTATCTATAAATTATTCCAACATGTTTAGAATATTTACCCTTTAAATTCCTGACAATTTATACTATGAACCTTTATGAGTTTTTTAAATTTATTTGTTAAACTAAAATATACAAAACTCTATTTATGACCACCAGGGCCATAGCTACGAAGGAGCTTGGGGGGGGGGCAAAAAAATTTTTGGATGGCTCCCAAGAATTTTTCCGGCCCCCCAAATTTTTAAAAATATGGCTGCTAAAATATGAAAGCTCAACATCTCATTTAAATTCAATAACATTGGCATGATAAAAATCTTAATATAAATAAGGATACTGATATAACTATAATTTTTGTAAGCCAAAAAATCAACTGTAATCATCTTAAATCAATATTAGATTTAATACTATTTCTTAACATACAGAAGCTACCTTTTCATGGGACTGGTTCAACAAAAATTATGGATGCTGCAATAGATGAATACATAATTTATTCTTCTGGACTATATATAGCAATGTTTCATACACCATCTAAAAAGATCCTGAATATAATAATATTATGAAATTAATTCCCAAAAATGTCCAATATACATCACCCCAGATTCAAATTGTATCATTTATGAGAATTTTGAGGCTATTGATGAAGTATTTTTTAATTTTCTAATAGAACTCTTAACTCAGAGGTTTCCATTCATGATTCAGTCAAAGTCTCTGGTCTTTTATTTCAATGTGAGCCATTATGAAATATTAATAACAGATCCACTAAATAAGTATCTACAGTCAGTAGGTACTAATCTAGTGGATGCTAAAAATTGTATTGATTCCACAATCAATATAAAAATAAAAGAAGCAATAATTTTTTTGATTTGATTAGAATTAAGGAAAAACTTTTAAATTTAATCTCATCCCAAAAAATCATCATGGGTATAAAACGCCAGCAAATTTTCAAGATTTTATAGACAAGACCAAATTACAATGTGATTGTGAAAAAGACTCAAATTGGAGTTCTTTAAAAAAGAATTATTATATTCATCATGTTTTAATACATTGTTCCCCCTTGACCCTGATTATTTTATATAAGATAAAATGACCCCATTAGAATCATTATCAAACTAAAATATGAAAACAATAACAAAAGGATTATTAGCTGTTTTAAGAAACACATAATATTTAAAATATCTTAAATATTATGTATAAAAAATATCATCTTGTTAAAGAATTGTATAAATGCTATTCAGAAGCCATCTTCATTGGGGTATCAACGGCTTCTTGTAAGGCCTCATTCTTTACACTAAAGAATTCGAGCACTGGAGAAGATCAACGTAAACAAAACATAGTATTAATGGCTTATGAAAAGATTAACACGGAATTTATCATTTAATTCATTTATGTAAAAATTTAAAAATATCGTCGTATTATATTATAGTATTATTTTGTATTCATATTACATTTTACAAATTTTTAATAAAAATAGCAAAAAAATTGTATGAATGCTTAATTATTTGTTTTATTTTAAAAAAATTAGTGGCTCCTGCCCCCTCCCAGCTGGAATTTCCTGGCTATAGCCCTGATTATCACTCATTCATTAGCCCTTCATTAAGAGGTGATCAAAAGAGATTATTTTAGCTTAATATTATCTCAAAGGACATTAGTAAAACGTTGTCGAAAATAGTCATATCTGGAAGTTTTACTGATATGTAGAAAATAATTGTCATAAATTTTATAGATTTTCAAAACATAAATATCTATTTTTTTTGTTATGATTACATTATAAAAGAAAATTTTGCAAAAATAAGTTGTATTAAATATTATATTTGCATTTTTTTTATCTTAGATTTTTGGATAAGCAGGTGTTTTGGAAATAATTATTATTTAAAATAAACGAAATGTTTAAAATAGGTTATTAATTTTTATCAGAGGTTTACAGACACTGACCAAAAGTCATATAATTTTTTTTAAAAATAAACCTGGATCGGGCCTAAAAGGAATTTCTTTAACATCCCAGGGCTAATCAAATTATTATAAAATTATTATTATTCCATATAATATAAAAAAATAATAATATATTTTAAAAATTGTATCTCGTTCATTTCTCATATTTTCTACCTAAGTAGTTTATAGAAGAAAAGTAAAATTGTTTTTAAATTGTTCACTAATTATAATAACTTTTATTTTTAATCAAATCATTTATCCTTATAAACATATTGTACTTAATAAATAGTTATTAATTTAGGAGACCTATTTATATTTAAGTCAAAAATTACATAAAGTATTTAGAAAGATAGAAATAGTTACAATTTAAACAATTGCATAATATAAAAACCAGAGTTGTTAAAATAGCGGGCTATCTTTTTTGATAGAGCGCACTACTTTGCTACTTTTTAAAAATATAATGAATATAACTATAAACATGAAAATTTAAATATAATATAATGAATATGATTAAATATGAAAATTTAAATATAATATAATTTATTATAATTTTTATTATTTAATTTTGAAATTGAAATTTTTTCATTTTATATTAAAAATTAAGTCATATGGTGTAAATTATTTGAAATGTCATCGCAAATGGATATCCATGTAAGTGAGTCAGACGATTATGATATAAATGAAATGGAAGGTACCTTAGAAGAAAATGTTCTTGATAACAATAATACAAATTTTCAATTTCCAAAATTTGAAAATTTCAAATTAATGTAAAAACAAAAGATGGCTACAAATTTATTTGTTCAAACTAAAAAAATATATCTTCAAATAAATCTAGTAGCTATAACCTCAAAAAAAACTTAAAGGTAATTGCCTTTTTTAAATTAATATGTAAGAATGTTAATACCAACAGTTTTAAAGAGATAGAAAAACATCTTAATAATTCTGGTATAGGGGAGACCACATTCAAATTGATTAATAATATTGCCATTTCAATATTTCTTAGAAACTGACTGATATTGTCGATTTTATAATTGATACAGTTCAGCCAATGTCATTGGTTGATAATCCATCATTTTATGATGGTTAAAGTTCAATATCCTGGTCGCTAGACACTAATGATTGAGATAGCAGACAAAGATGCCCTAGTTAGAACCATAAAAATGACTTGCATTGATATTTTTTGAAATTAAGGGTAATAATATTAATAGAAAATCCCCTAGACGCGTTTTTAAATCTAAAAATACAAATGAATAAATGACTGCCTTGCGCTCAAGTGGTAGTGTTGAGAGATTATTTAGTAAGGCGAAACTTATTCTTTATGATCATCGCTCTAGACATGGGATGATAGTATAAACATAATTTTATTAATAAATTGCAACAAAATAAAAAAATATGAATATTACCATATATTTTTATTACATATATTATAGTGTTTTTACATAAAAAATTTTATAATCAATATACTAACTATATTTAAATATTTATAATTGATGATTTTATGTATTTTACACTATGCAATTACATTATAAGCAAAAAATATAACAAATTTTTTTATAAAAAGCCAAAGAAACTTTTAGTAGCTAATAGAGCTCTACTTTTTTTGTTATAGCCATAGCGCGCTACTTTTAAAAATAGTGTTTAACAACTCTGATAAAAGCCAAATCATATTAATATAACAGTTAATTTTTTTATAAATTATTAAGAAATAACTTGTATTATAATCCACCACGCTACTTGAATTTTTCCTTATATACTTTACTAGGTATAAATAGTTATTAAATTGGAGACTAATTATAATATTTATTTTTAGCCAATTAAACATATATATTGTGAATTCCATATCAAATCAACAAAAAAAAGTCTATTTTCAACCCGACCCCCTTCAATTTGACTTAAATTTTGTATAGTGGTAGTAAATATTATAACTAAGAAAAAAATGAAATTACCTTCCAACACTGTATACCCGCTAAGATATGGCCTTTAAAGTTCGGAAAAATTTACATTTTTGACAAATTCAAATATCTCGAGAAATAATTATGTTAGAAAAATAATTTAAATTTTATTTTGTAGCTTAATAAAAGTTCTTTAAAATTACATAAAAATAAATATGATAGACATTTTATTAATATCGAAAACCGGATGTGTAAAACCGAAAATGGCCATTTCAAAATTTTTTTTCTGTAGATAGTTATCACACGGCTTTATATTTGTACAAAATCCTAGACTGGGATAATGGGTTTAGGAGTTATCACTCTTTATATGGCTAAAATTTAACATTAATATCATCATATTTTAATTTAATGAATAGTTATGAAATAATGTTAATTTAAAAGTCTAAATGATAGGCCCTACTTTTTTTTATCTTTATAAAAATATTTTGAGAGGTGGCTGGGATAATGAGCTGTTTAAAACTTTAGTTAAATTTTATCTCGAAATCAAAATTACATGACAAAATAATTTTAAATATTTTATTTAGCATAAAATAATCTAGCAAAATTGAAATTCAACAATAAATTTTCCCCCATATATTCAAAATTAAAAGAAAGGCTTAATATATTATTTGATGAGAATTCTATAGATTATAATGGATAGCAGTTGATCGAACTACCCTCGAAACACTGACAAAATCCGCTGACGAATTTTTAGATAATTTAATCGAATAATTAAACAATTTAATTCCTCATTTGTTTATAGCTTCACGATAATCATTAATTCGAACCTTTTTAAAATCAATATTAAATGTTGGCGAATTCTTAGTTATTGCAGACTTTTCAGAAAACTATGCATTTGTAGTGCAGAACCATGCACAAGGATTTAATGAGGCCAATAATCAAGCCACTATCAACTCTTTTATAATTTATTAGCGTGAAAACAACATAATAAAACATGTAAATTTAGTGGTTATATCAGATTGTTTAAAGCACAACGCATGTGCATTTTATTTATTTTAAAAATTGATC